TGGAATTAATTATATAGTTTTATATAATAGGGCAAAGAAAGGGAATTGATATTAAAATAACTTTTCATATATAAAATTTTTATTTGTATTAATAATAAATAGATTTATACGAAGTATATTTTATCCTTAAGTTTGTATTCATGTTACTAAAATCCATATATAGTTCTAACAAACTCAATCGCATTATTTGAAAGACATTTATTCTTGGATTTTGAATTACATATTTGAAAGTGCGCTTTACTTACATTTAAAGTTCAGTTAGAACAGTATATACCCAGCGAAAAATGATTTGTTAATTGACGTCAAAATAACATCAAATAGACGTTGAAATCGTCAAACCGACGTCAATTTGATATTATTTTGACGTCAATCAACGAATCATTTTTCACTAGGTATATAAATGTCACAAACATGAAGTTTTAAATAGCTCAATGGAAAGAGCGGTTGTTTGGCAAGCGGAAGACCCGAGTTTGATCCCAGCCGAGTCTGATGTTTTTCATCTCATATGGCATTAAAAGTGGTCATCTACAGATACACACAAGCACCCCCGGCCAAAGTTTCTGATCTTTCTTTCGTGTGGATACAATAAAATTTATTAAATCCGAAGAAATCTGTTTGAGTTGAAGTAATTCTATATAAATACTCTAAGAAGTTCTGAGGAATTCCAATCATGGTGCATGTAACTTCCTAAATCATTCTTATAGTATTCTTCCACGAATTCCTAAGGAAGTATAATTCAAGAAAGGAGAAAAGGAACACTTAAAGAATTCATCGTGCTATCTGGGAGATACATCTTGAGTTTTATTATGAGATACATTTTTTTTATAGCGGCTGTCATTTAGTCATAAGAAAAGACAGTTATAAAATAGACTACACACAAATATTTAACTTTATATTACTTAAATTTTACTTGTAAATTTACATATTAATATACTTGTTTCAATTTTCTTCTTATCTTAGTGTAAGTAATAGACGTTCTTCTGATGAAATACCCAGATAGAAATGCGTGATGATCATGTTTCATCATAATACAATGTCATACTGTGATTTCATCTTAATACTTTAATATCTTTTTAAAGATTATTATGTGATTAATATGACATGAACACAAGATGTACACAAATGATATACGAACATGTCTAGTTTATCAAGTTTTGTTATCATAATACTACTAGATGAGATATTTTTCTGATCATTACATGAACGACATACAAGCATATGCGCACACATTTGTATGCATTTTTGCAATCATACACATCAATGTATGAGCGCGTGCTGAGCGCAATATGACATCATTTTTCTATCTAGGTTCTTGACAAATCGGATTTTTTTGAATTTGTGGAGCAATTAGCGTTAACAATTCCTCAAATAATGTTATACTCATACGGCAATAATTATCAAACAAATAATTGTCTGTTACTAATACAGAAATTATAGTATTGTATACATCTTTTTTATCTCTCTTTCAAAAAATTAGATACCCAATATCTAGGTATAGCTTCCGGAATGGAGCCGTGTCTTGAATCAGCGATATGCCGACGTTTCGCAAACGTTGCAGTTTGCATCATCAGGGCTGAGAACTCTGATACTGAGCTCCCTTGGGTAAAGGT